AACATTTTCATAAGAAGAATTTTCCTATAATGACTTTAGGGAATGTATTACTCCTTGATCCATAGGTTGGAGCTTCGCACTTGTGTTCTACTGATTATTATGTCTCTTCTTGAAACGCTCTACCCAACTTCTAGAACAAACAAACTCTTTGTTTTTGATTTTTCTCTCCATTTCACTAGCCTTTTCTTGCAAAACACTTCCACTTATGGGAACGTTTTCTTGTCTTTTTTGAGTGAACCACTTAATAAGTTCCTTGTCAACCTCTTCATGTGCAGATAATTTTAACTTCTTACATCTAACATTTGCTTTGTCATACGCTGACAAAATGTTTTCTCTGTTTTTCCATATTGTTGCAACAGTAGACTTCCCAAGTTCCTTACAAATGCCACTCTGCTTTACTCTACTTTTTATTTTGTTAATAATCTCGTACTTTTCATTTAGTGAAAAAGCTTTGCATTTTTGTTTCTCCATTCTAAAACGATTTACAAACATAACGCGGCAAAAAACAAGTCACTGCCTATTTCTCGCTCTCACTAACATAAACAACGCTGAGCGTGGAAGTTCGTTATAAACGGAAACTGAATATACAACTAACCTAAAAAGTGATCGTTATATCCGGAAGTTCGTTATAACCAGTAAAAAAATGCGTTGGCCTTTAGGGACGACGTTTCAATTAAAGGAGAAAAGTTCGTTTTAACCGAAAGTTCACTATAACCGGGTTTATTATAAGCAGACTTTACTGTATTTTAAGTTTATAAGACTTACATATTGTCTTGGTCTTGCTTTAGAAATTAAGAGATAATAATAATCAAGACAAAACAATAAAAAATCTCAGACTATTTGCTATTTTAGTAAGTTTAATTATTTTGTAATTTAAAATTGTTTACCACTACTTTTTCATTACCTTTTCTCTAGATCTAGAAGATATTCATCTACCTAAATAAATCGAATACATATGTAGATTTTAACGAAAGTACAACATTGAGACATCTACAGTAAGCTGAAGATGGCATGAAATATGAAAACATGAAAAGAAAAAGTGGAAATTGTCACATTAATAGAGAAAAGTGTTCTGTGTCATCAATCTTAAATTAGTATCAACTTAGTTATAGTGTGAATTTGGTTCCTGGAGCTCTTGGTTACCAACTTCAAAAGACATTTTCAAGCTTGAAATAAAAGGCGAAATTTGAGTATGACATACATTCCCAAATGTACATTCAGCCACTTTTTTGCCTATTGATTAGCATCAGATTGAGATGGAGCACTTTATAGAGCATTAAATGACGCATTTTGACTAATTAAGGCAAGAGATCTGAGGCTAGCAGATGAAGCAATAAGTCAGTAAAGACTGAAAAAATATAATGCAAAAAAGGGAAGATGATCATAACCAGATGGTAATAAAATGAAGCTCTAGTGTAGATTTTGCATAATTCCTGAAATGAAGACTTTTAAAGGACATTTTGAATTAGTTCAAATTTCGTTGATTTCTATCATCCCTCGGAAGTTCAGTTCATTTTTAAGTAATTTATTTTTTTTTTCGATTTTTTTGTTGWGAAAGATCGATGTTTAGAGCGTTTTTGAGTTAGTTGTTGACTTTCGTCAGCTGGAACGTGAAATTTGTCCTTGGAAATATTGCCGTGCGAACAGGCACTTTTTMAACAAATGTCAACAATAAACAAACCGAACTCGAACTGTCAAGCAAGAGCAGAGCAATGAWTCATCGAAATGGCGAACAAGCAAATGATTGTATTGTATATAATGTATTTTATGTGTGATTGTATGTAATCATGTTTATTCTGTACTTCGGTCCCTTTTTTCGAAAAAGTGTATGAATATTCAGTTTGCTACCGACAGCGTCATGTGAATCGCGTTCTTAGATGGGAAATATAGAATTATTGTGGCTCTTATGGTAAGTGCGATAGTTTGTGAAAGTGTAGTGTACTTTTTGAGGATAAATAGGAAGAAATTGGAGGATAGGGCGCCAGCTGGCAGAAATCTTTTAGCTTGAACTTAGTTTAGTTTTGCGACAAGCAACTAAAGATTTATGGGTTCTTTATTTCTCTCTCTTTGCTTTGCTGATTTCAAATAAGTTTGGCGTTGCGACAGACTTCCTGCTGACCTAAACACAGTCTTCCTTCTTTCCAGGTGGCACTACGCAGCTTTCGGCAAGTTTAGCATTACGCTTTATTTTCCAAATATTTATTCCACCTTCTTCCTGATTGCGGTAATCTGAAAGTACCTACTGTTTTATTTATGTCAAACTTGTTCACAGCTTTGGTTACTATTTTAATGTTTAAAGCCATAAGAATATTTGGATATAGGGGTGGGAAGTGAATTAAACTCCTTTCATACTCTAAAAATGGCCAACGTTCCGACCCTTTGTTGAGGTCTTTCTCAAGGCTAGATGAAACAAAATTAACAATACCAGAGTTCTTGCAGTCAACCAAGGATATGTTGATATAAGTGAAATATTTAAAATTAAGGTTAGAATTGTCCATTTGACGTCTCAAGGACAGAGTCCCAGGAGCCTATTTTCGGTCTATTCTGTAACTCTAAGAAAAGTACAATACGCTCCCAGATTAACGGATATTAGCACGGATTCTCACGGCAGATTTTTCATCATTCCCATTAAAACTAAGGGCAAATTGCTAACTTCTACACATTTACCGGTAATATCCGAGGACATTAATCCGCTTTCACTAGGATGTCAAGTGTTACAAAAAAAAACAAATAAATTCATATCAGTGTGCAATTTATTATCAAATGTCAGACAATTAATCTATATGCTTATGAAACAGAACTACATGAACAGTCATGTCCTGAAAGGTAGTCGGTTCCTCCCAAAATATAAAATTAATTTACAATCGTGGATTCAGTAGGAATTTCTATTGAAAAAGTATCGTGTATGTATAGCATATTTAGTTACAGTTACGTAAATAATGATGAATGTGGAAAACCGCTTTAGTATGGGGCATACCGCCTAGGGGGTGATGGTCCTCTCATTGGTGGTCTACAAAAAGCAGTGATTACAATACATTTCTTTTAAGAGTGTAAAGTCTTTATATTCCATAAATATATAATTTTAAATATATTTGACAACTTAACCGAAACCACAAATTTAATTTAGTTCTCAGTTTTAACATTGTAAGCGACAAGTACAAAAACATTTTAATTGAGGACTTTCTCGAGAGTAGCCATTCTGAGATTGTCACCATGAATCATCACGTGTTCACTACTGCTTTAATGGAACAGGAAATGTGTTTAAAACTTCTAAATAAATCAATTGTGAATATATTACCTTCGATCGTCAAAAGTATCTCTGCTGAAATCTTCATACATTCGGCTCATTCTCGACCCACCAAGAGAGCTACTTGGAGGGGGCGATCGTCTACTGAACATACTATAATCACTCGGACTGCGAGAGAAGCTGGATTCGCCCATTCTGGAACTCAGTCCACTCGAAGATCCTCTGAGACCAATTGAGGGCATGGGAGGTAGTGGCTCCCGTCTTGGGGGTAATGGCGGAGGCAAGAAATCTCTGCCTCCTCGAAGGCTCATTTCGCTTCTCGACGGCATGCTGGAGTACCTACGCTCGTACAAGTCGCGGGAATCCTCGGGAAAACGACGATCATAGTAGCTGTCATACGCATCCTAGGTAAAGAAAATAATACAAATGAAATTAGAACTAGCATTTACTCATCGGAAAACTTTGAAAGTAGCAAAAGCTAGCTAGTCGGTGAAATCTGTGTCGAAAGGACATTTGCCCGGCATTTAGATTGGCTGAAGTAATTATTTTGTGCTTCCTGAGATTTCGCTTTTAAAAACTATCCGAATTTCTAAAAAAATTAAAAGAGTCCAGTTTATACCAAGGTTCTGAACTCTAGTATATACAAATACTGATTTTACCGACTCCCTGGGTCTTGCCGTTTCCAAGATTCCTAATGGTGGATTGAAATAAGTAACGCATTTATTTTGAGCAAGAACATAAAGAAACGGATTACATATTTTAATTTAAGCAGATAACAGTTTGTCCTCTCCTTCTCTGTATAATCGTTTCATCAAAAGTAATGACTATGTAGCATTCAACTAAGTTACTCTAACGTAACTATGTACAAATTATGCTTTAATTCAATAGTTAAGACGTGAAAGAGATCTACGAGGTATAGCTGCAGTTGTGCTACAGCAGCATGTTTAATAACCCCAGTAGGTGGGTTGTTTCAGTCGAAATAAATGAGTTGCGACTATAAAGTGAGGGACAAACAATTAAAACTAAAATCGCGTATTACCCCAAAGCGTCCCATCATCCGGTCGCGTAGGAATGGTGGCGGTGGTGGAGGAGGGTAAGGATCGCGTCCGAACATGCGTTCGCGAAACCTGTCGGGTCCCATTCCTTTAGGACACTCCTTGGACCAGTGTCCGCCACGGCCGCAACGATAGCATTGCTCAGGATCACCCATTCCCGGACGCTGCCTAACACGACTCGTTGAAATCTGGACTTTCATGGGCTGTCCATCCACAATTTGACCATTTAAATCTTTAATTGCTTCGTTTACGTCTCCCGACGATTCAAGATGTACGAATCCATAATTCCGAACGATGTCGCACTCAACGACCGTTCCGAATTTTTTAAACAACTCCCGTATCTGAGGTGCTTTAGTGTTATCGGTTAGATTACCAACAAAAATCTTTATGGTCGGCGTTTGGGGCGCTTTGCGGCTCTTGGCGGCTTCGCACTTCATGGATTGACCATTAATCATTTGTCCGTTAAGTTGCTGGATCGCCTCGCGCCCTTCCGATTCATTTTCCATGTGGACAAACCCGTAATTCTTGACGACATCGCATTCAACAACTTTGCCGTACTTCTCGAACAGAGGACGAAGCTCCGATACGCTGGTTTTTTCGGCGAGGTTTCCGACAAAGATTTTGAACGTGCCCGCGGTGCTAAAACCCGGCATCTTGTTCGGCCTGAAAGTCGAAACACGTCAAATAAAACAATAAAACAGAAAATAGAAGAGCGTGCTGTAGCCATTCGCGTTGAAAACGCCCGGCCGCTCATTCTGTTCGATAAACACATGTCATGCCGTCGATTTCAACTATTTTAAAAATACAACTACAATTTTCCGACATAAATATCGATACAGTGATGTATGGATAATCCGAACTGAAAATGGGCAAAACCGGCACCACCGCCAAGTTAAAGCCGAACTGCTCTGACGTCATGCGTGGGCCGAGCCGGTAAGAAACCACAGATGTGGCGTCAGAGCAGTCGGCCCTTGACTTGCGGTGGTGCCGGCAAAACCCATTCGATTTCTCAACATTTCCGATTACAGGACGCATAATAAAGTGATATGATACGAACACGTTCGATTTATAGATAAGTTTGAACCTTTCTTAACACTCCTGCCAACAAATGTACTCGAAGTAAGTCTTCTGACAGCTTGACTGTCAGCTGACTGTTTTGACAATATTTTCACAGTAGGTTTTTTTTAAACATTATCCCTTTCCCTGCTATTTGCACTGAAGATTAAGAAACATTGTATACGGTACACGAGACGAAAGTCGAAGGCCCCCCCACTCCGTAAAGTGGGCGCCCGAGAACTTCGACTTTCGTCTCTCGTACAGTATTGTACCTATAGAGTAAGTAAAATAAGAGAGGTGGCAATCATATGGGCGTCCTTGTCACCGCGTTACGCAGGTAGCGCTGCAACTGGCTGACCGGCGACTGCCGGCACTAAAATTTCGATTTTTCGGCCAAAAAGTTCTGAGCATGTGCGAAACGTACAGGACATAGTAAAAATAAAATACGGGTCGGTTAAATCAGTTCTGTCCTTTTTCAACTTGCAGAACAACGCGGCTGGATATTATTCTTGAATTGCTAAGTTGACTTTGCTAAATGAAAT